AATTTTTTGCTTCAGATACTCGCTTATCCGCCCGTTGTGAGAATGAACGGTGGCGAAGCGGTACAACTGCCGTTGCTGCCGTAGTCGATCCAAAAGAAATTGTCATTGCATGGATAGGAGACTCAGCAGCTTATATACTGTCCGACACCAGGGATCTTAAGAAAATCACCAACGCTCATGTGCCCACGAATGAAGTGCGTTTTTTTGAAATGTATAGCAGAATATTCTGTTTGCATTTAAACGCACTAGACAACATTTTTCAATGTATGGGGTGAATTTAGGCAGAAGCAAAGCGTGTTGAAGCTGATGGTGGACAGCTTCTTTGGATCCAAGGAGAACTTCGTGTCAATGGAGTTCTAAATCTGACTAGAGCTTTGGGTTAGCTTTCCACATATCTTCTCTCTGTCATTCCACTACTTTATATTTAATCTTGCTATTACAGGAGACATATGTGGGAGACCAATGATCAGTCCTAAAGCTGATACCACCGTGATTGAACGAGATATGTCTCAATACCTTATCTTGCTGGCATGTGATGGAGTATCAGAATTGTTTAGCGACTCGGAGGTGTTGGACATGATCAAGTCCTTCGTGGCAAAGCATGGCTATGAACGTGGGTGACATCATTTTATCTCAGATTGGGATTTTTTCGGTATATATGAAATGAGTTTTTTTCAACGTTGCCATCTTATTTTGACTTAACAGTTCCAACCTTTTTTTTTAATTTGATAACATTTCAAAATGCAAGGTGCAAATCATTCTTGCAGCTCCGTTTTCCTCTCTGTGAATCCATCTATCAGAAAATTTGAGAATTTTACGATATAGTTTCCTGTATATGGTAATATGTTCAAGTATCTATCTAAGTATTATAGTAAAGACCTCTTATTGGCAAGCAAAGAGAAAACCTGTGAACAAAACCATGTCATTGTCTCTTATCATCAGATCTTTAGTCATTGGCCTTTTATATATATGCAAAGTTTTTTGGAGGAAGTCCCATCTCAAAGCTTTTCATTCCGTTGTCAAACTTATAAATTTCTTCTTATGTCAACTGTCTTGTAAAACAATTTCATTTAGGATATTACGATTTGTCGGATCATATCTGTCGTGCTGCTTTGGCTGGTGGTAGTGTCGACAATGTAACATGCGTAGCTGTTTTCCTTAGACCACCGAAAGATCTCTGGAAACTTCTTGGTGAAGACGCCGATGA